TTCACAGAATGAAAATTAAAGGATAGAAAACAATGCTCCACATGACAGGAACCCAGAAAAAAGTGGGTGTAGCTATTCTGTTTGTAGACAATGTAAACTGCAAACCAAGAACAATCAAAAGAGATAAAAACAGTCACTATATACTGGTTAGGGGAAAACTTCAAGAGGAAGAGATAAGAATCCTTAACATCTATGCACCAAATACAGGAGCATCCAACTATATAAGACAAATTTTAACAGACGTGAAAAATGACATAAGCAGCAATACAATCTTAACAGGGCACTTGAACACCCCACTGTCACAAAGGGATAGATCAACTAGACAAAAAATCAGCAAAGAAATAACAAAACTAAACCAAACTTGTGAATAAATGGATTTAATAGGCCTTTACAGGATGTTCCACCCAACAGCATAAGAATACACATTTTTCTCAGCTGCACATGGGACATTCTCTAAAATACACCATATGCAAGCACACAGAACATGCTTAAGTAAATGCAAAAGTACTGAAATTATCCCATGCATACTCTCAGACCATAGTGCAATGAAACTGGAAATTGATGACAAAAGAAATCACAAAAACTCCATAAACACATGGAAATTAAATTACACACTCCTGAACAACCAATTGGTCACAGATGAATTCAAGCATCAAATTAAACACTATTTACAATCAAATGAAAATGTAGATGCAACTTACAGGAACCTGTGGGATGCAATGAAAGCAGTCCCCGAAGAGAAATTTATAGCAGTGAATTCTCACCTCAGAAAAACACAATGGGCACAAATAAACAATCTTATGCTGCACTTCAAGCTTCTAGAAAAAGAAGAGCAAGTCAAACCCAAAGCCCAGAGAAGGCAAGAAATTACAAAGCTCAGGGCACAAATAAATGCAATGGAAACTACAAACACCATATAAAGAATTAATGAGTTGAACAGTTGGTTCTTTGAAAGAAACAATAAAATACATAAGCCCCTAGCAAACCTTATCAAAAAAGAAAAAACCGATATACAAGCAATAAGGAATGAAAGGAGTGAAATCACTACAGATCCTATAGAAATTCAGAAGATCATCGAAACTTACTTCAAAAATCTTTACTCTCATAGGATGGAAAACACAGAGGAAATGGACAGATTTGTAGATACATATAAATTACCAAAGCTGAATGAAGAAGATATAAAAATCCTGAATAACTCAAGATCAGCCAATGAAATTGAGAATGTAATAAAAAACTTGCCAATGAAGAAAAGCCCAGGTCCTGATGGATTCACAGCTGAATTCTGCAAGAAATTTAGAGAAGATTTAACATCAATTCCTCTCAAACTCTTTAATGAAATTGAAAGGGAAGGAATTCTCCCCAATCTTTCCTGGAGGCAAGTGTTACCCTAATACCAAAACCAGGGAAAGATCCAACCAAAAAAGAGAACTAAAGTCCAACCTCCTTAATGAGTATAGATGCAAAGGTTCTCAATAAAATACTAGTAAACAGAATACAACAAATCATCAAGAAGATTATACACCACAACCAAGTGGGATTCATCGCAGGAATGCAGGGATGATTCAATATATGCAAATCAGTTAATGTAATACACCATTTCAACAGAACCAAAGACAAAAATCACATGATCCATCTATGAAGAAAAAGCTTTTGATAAATTCCAACATTCCTTCATGATAAAAACCATACAGAAAATAGGTACAGATGATCTTTACCTCAATCTGATCAAAGCCATCTATGACAAACCAATGGCTAACATCATACTAAATAGTCAAAAATTGAAAACTTTCACTTGAAATCAGGAACAGGACAAGGATGGCCACTGTCACCACTCCTATTCAATATAGTTCTGGAAATACTAGCTAGAGCAATCAGACAAGACAGAGAAATAAAAGGAATAAGGATAGGAAAGGAAGAAATGAAATTGTCATTATTTGCAGATGACATGATACTCTACATAGAAGACCCCTAAAACTCCACCAAAAGGCTCACAGATTTAATAACCAAATTCAGTAGCACAGCTGGATACAAAGGCAAAACTCAAAAATCAATAGCATTCCTGTACACAAACAACAAACTCACAGAGAAATTGGGGAAACCACACCTTTCACAATAGCATCTAAAAAGATGAAATACTTAGGGATTATTCTAACAAAAGAAGTAGAGGTCTATATGGTGAAACTTACAGTTCTCTGAAAAAAGAGATTGAAGAGGATTTCATAAAATGGAAAGATATTCCTTGTTCATTTATAGGAAAAACTAACATTGTGAGAATGGCCACACTCACAAAATTGTTGTATACACTAAATGAAATCCCAATTAACATACCATTGGAATACCTCACAGATCTAGAGAAAATATTCCTAAAATTCATCTGGAACCAGAAAAGGCATAGAAGAGCAAAAGCAGTCCTGAGCAACAAGGGAAAGGCAGGAGGCATCACAATCCCTGACTTGAAATTATACTACAAAGCTACTGTGATAAAATCAGCATGGTACTGGCAAAAAAGAAAATCTAAAGATCAATGGAACAGATTAGAAGATGCAGACATAGGTACAAACACACTCAGCCACCTTACCTTTGACAAAGGGGCCAAATATGTTCACTGGAAGAAAGATAGCCTCTTTAATAAATGGTGCTGGAAAAACTGGCTTTCCACATGTCAAAGATTAAAACAAGACCCATGTCTATCACCATGCACTAAACTAAAGTCAAAATGGATCAAGGATCTAAATATTCAAACACAAACACTAAATCTACTGGAAGAGAAAGTAAGTAAAAATCTTGGATATAGGAGTAGGCAGAGAGTTCATGAACAAAAAGCAAACTGCATGGGAAATACTTCAGAATATCAACAACTAGGATCTCATTTTATTGAAAAGTTTTTGCACATCAAAAGAAATCACCAACAGAGTAAAAATAAAATCCACAAATTGGGAAAAAAGTTTAGCCAACTGCCCCTCAGACAAAGGACTTCTATCTAGAACATATAAAGAATAAAAAAACATAAAACCCCCAAATTCAAAGACCCAATCCAAAAATGGGCATCTGAGATGAATACACACTTCTCAAATGAAGAAATACTAATGGAAAATAAATACATGAAAAAGATGTTCAACATCATTAGTCGTTGAAGAAGTGCAAATTAAAACAACACTGAAATTCCATCTCATCCTGGAAAGAATGGCTATCATTAAGAAATCAACCAATAACAAATGTTGGAGAGGCTGTAGGGAAAAAGAAACCCTTCTCCAGTGCTGGTGGGAGTGTAGATTGGTGAAAACACTGTGGAAATCAGTTTGGAGATTCCTCAAAAAACTAGAATTAGAAGTCCCACTTAACCCAGCTATTCCCCTTCTGGTTATTTTCCCAAAAGAGTTAAAAACATCATACCATAGCGATATATGTGCACCCATGTTTATAGCAGCACAATTTGTTATAGCTAAATCTTGGCAACAACCCAAATGCCCATCAACTGAGGAGTGGATAAAAAAGATGTGGTATTTTATACAGTGAAGTATTACTCAGCTATTGAAAAAGATAAACTTGAGGCTTTTGTAGGTAAATGGATGCAACTAGAGACCAGACTCATAAGTCAAATAAATCAGACCTGCATGCGTAAAACATCATATTGTCTCCCCGGTTTAGGAACCTGAAAGAGTAAATAAAACCAAAAACATACAATAGATGATATGAAAGGGAAAGAAATTGCTCCGGGAAGGAACAAGTGGGAAGAAGGAAAGAAGAATAAGGAAGAAAGAAGGACAGCAAAAAAAAAAAAAGTTATATATATAGAAGGACAGCTATGATAACTGTACTGCTGATGTCTGCTGGTTTATTGAAAGGAACAGTTAATGCTTAAAATTTTTTATATTTTGACTAATTTTGCATGCTTATATCTGGTAATCGGAATAAATGATTTGAAGACAACAATATGCAACAGAACAACCATTGGTGAATTCCTATCATCTTCTTTAGTGAAACTCTGTATTGTCTCTAATGTTTTATTTAATAATTTTTTTATTCTCCTTAATGGTTTGAACAATCTTCCATTCTTACATGTGGTAATCTGACAACTTAGTTGAAGATAATCTTATGTAATATAACAACCACTGTTAATTTCTATCATTTTGTTTTGAAACCCACAAAAATACTTCTGTATCATTTTTAATATTCTTGCTTCTTTTTGCTTATGTCGCTCATGTTGGTATTTTGCTATTGTTCTCTTGTTTTTTTACTAGCCTCTTTAAAATAAAAGTACAAAACAAAAAAGATATGTTTCATATCACCAGAAAAGTGACAACTTTTCAAAAAGACATGGTTAGTGAATTCTATACATTTGGAGACACCTAAAGAGAAATAAATCCCACAGCTTTTTTGGAAACTATTTGTACTATAGAGATACTCTTGTTATGAGAAAAGTACGTACTAAACATTGCAACTTGAACATGAATGGAATTTCAGTTCTTATTATGTTAGGTCCCTCCATATTTTTAAACATGCAAACAACGATTACCTCCAGGTAAGGAGAGAAGTATTTTTGTGGGTTTATCCATGAAGAAAGGTCACAGCATACCAAAAAAGAATGGTTGCCTATATTCTTTACTCAATTCAATAAAAATTTATAATTTGAAAATGGGTAAGCTCCAGCAATCTGATTTTTGAACAGGTGATATTTGTTTGGAGCAAGGGTTAGTTTTTGTACCAACCTACTGTAATAAACAAGTTAGATTTTTTTCTTTCTATTGGAAGCCTTTTCTATCCATCAAATTGTTGTCTTATTTTACATCTTTAAATGACACCCCACTTTATATTTTGAACCATTCACATATTTATACTATGAAACATCCATACATTTTTTAAATGAGGGCTTGATCCTTTAGTTCTGCAGGTGCTCAGTGCTGAAAAAAGGACCAAGTTCACTGGGTGAAATTAAAAATTAGGGCCAAAACCACAACACATTTCTTAAGCTATAAAAATAAAACACCATTTGAACACACCTTGTAATCATGTTTGGAGGTTTAGATAACTCTTCACACACAATTGTAAATTTTTCAGATTTCAGTCCTTTCTTCCATTTCTTTTTTTTCTTGGGATAAACAATGTAAGTAATGCCTGCTTGTTTTGATGCTTCAATGAGAGAGAGTGGCAGATCTTTTGAACTGAATTCTTCCTGAATGTTGTCTAAGATGTCATCTATACTTTCTCTCACAGGGGTAGGAGGCTCTTCGGCTTTGTTTTGCTTAGCTAGCTGGTGCTCCAACTCCTTTGTTCTCTGGAACATCATTGTTTTTATGTTGCTTTGCGTATCATCCTTGATTTCTATTGGTGTGATAGCCTCTTCCTTACTCAATTCAACTGTGGATTTTGCTCTCTTAATAAAGAAAAACAGATATATAAATTGTTCTTCTTTTAAAATTAATTCAGTTACAGTTACAATTAACGTATTTTGGACATTTTGATATTTGCTTAAATCATATATTCTTAAGATTACTGAAAAGTCAAATTACAAAGTTAATGGTGAAAAAAACCAAAAAACAACGTTAATGGTGGGTTTAGTTAAAGCATGCACAGAAATCTGGCCATGTGATTGTTCATTAGCTACATATACACACTACAAAACAGATACATATTAATTATTATTTTATATATTTTTACTTGAGAGAATGACCTCTACATATCCAAATAAAGTAGATGTTCTACTCTTGATGCAAAAACTTGGTAAAATGAGTAAAAACTATTATACTATCTTATTCTATTAAAATCAGTTTGCAGGCGCGACCAGCAGCCCAGCCATGTGGGAAAGCCTGAGGCAGGAGTGAGATTACAATTCACTGTTTCCCAAGGGGCCATGCAGAGACAGTGGCTGGTGAGTAAGGCGAACTGGTACTGTGCTCCAGCACACAGGCATGCAGGACAGAAGCAAGAGGCTGGGGCCACCATTTTATTTCAAAAGTCTCACTGTGAACTCCAGCAGCAGAAGAGTTCCAGGTTGCTTAACTGCCAAAGTCCCACAGTGCAATGAGGGAAGAACCATCTAACCGCAGTACAGTGCCAGCAGGTGAGAAGCAGATTAAGGAGAATTCTGCTGAGAAGAAGGAGCTGGGACCAACTAGACTCTGCTCTGGCAGCCACCAAAAGCCGGTCTTAACCCTAAATACAAAGGGCTGGAAGTGTACGCCTGGTCTGCAACCAGCACAGCAGCTTTGGTAGTGGCATAAGCAAGCAAGCAGCATTAGCCTGCAGCAGGACAAGCACACTTCTCCTGCCCAGTGACCAGTGTGTAAGAGGAGTCAGTGGTGTGGAAGGAAGCTGTGTAAGGTCAGGGAGGAGCCAACTGTACACAGCTCTAGGAGCAACCCCGGGCTTTCCCTACCTAGCTGTGCATGAGATGTTCTCCAAAACAGATCACATACTAGCACATAGAACATGCTTAAGTAAATGCAGAGGAATTAAAATTATGCTATATATTGTATCTGACCACAGTGCAGTGAAAATAGATACTAATGGCAAAAGAAACCAAACAAACGTGTGGAAATTAAATAACACTCTACTGAGCAATGAACGGGTCACAGAGGAAATTAAAGAAATTAAACAATTATCTACAATTAAATGATAATGCCAATACAACATATTGGAACTTATGGGACCCAACGAAAGCAGTCCTAAGAGGGAAATTTACAGTGGTAAATTCTCAAATCAGGAATATACAGCGAGTTCAAATAAACAACTTAACGTTGAATATAAAACTTCTAGAAAAAGAAGAATAAATCAAATCCAAGGCTTGTACTTGGAAGGAAATTAAAAAGATAAGAGCAAAAATTAATGCAATTGAGACTAAGAAAACAATACAAAGAATCAATGAATCAAAGAGTTGGTTCTTTGAAAGATTAAATAAAATTAAAAGACCCTTAGCCAACCTTATCAAACAGAGGAATGAAAAGACTCAAATTCACGCAATTAGGAATGAAAAGGGTGAAGTCACAACAGACCCTGTAGACTTCCTTCAGATCATCAATACCTCCTTCAAGAACCTGTATTCTCATAAAATGGAAAATAGAGAAAACATGGACAAATTCTGAGATACATGTGAATTGCCAAATTTGAATAAAAAATATAAAAATTCTAAATAACACCACATGAAATTGAAAATGTAATTTAAAACTTTCCAACAGGGCTAGAGATTTAGCTCAGCAGCACAGCACCTGCCTGGCAAGCGCAAGGTTGTGAGTTTGGTTCCCAGTACCAGAAAAAAAATAAATAAATAAATAAATAAATAAATAAAATAAAACTTCCCAACAAAGAAAAGCCCAGATCCTGATGAATTCTACAAGAAATTTAGAGAAGATCTAATGTCACTACTGATGAAACTTTAATGAAACTAAAAAGGAAGCAGTACTCCTAAAATCATTACAAGAGGCAAGTATTAACCCGATACCAAAACCAGAGAAAGATGAAAAGATGACTACAAGCTAATCTCCTTAATGAATACAGAGGCAAAAATCCTCAATGAGATTTGGGCAAACAGAATACAGCCTGTCATCAACAAGATTATACACCATGACTAAGTAGGATTCATCCCAGAGATTCAGGGATGATTCAACATATGCAAATCAATAGAGGCAATACATAATATCAATAGAGTGAAATCACATGGTCATCTCAAAGATGCAGAAAAAGCATTCCTTTGCTAATAGATAGGAAGAATCAACATTGTGAAAATGGATATAATCTCAAAATATATGCAGAAAAAGCATTCCTTTGCTAATAGGAAGAATCAACATTGTGAAAATGGCTATAATCTCAAAATTGTTACACAGATTTAATGCAATGCCAATCAAAATACTATTGGCATACATCACAGAAATAGGGAAAACTTTCCTAAAATTCATTTAGAACCAGAAGAGACCTAGAATAGCAAAAGCAATTCTGTGCAACGAAGTCAAGGTAGGGGGCATCACAATCCCTCACCTGAAATTATACTTCAAAGCTACTGTGATAAAAACAGCACAGTACTGGCAAAAACAAAAACTTGATCAGTGGAACAGATTAAAAGATACAAAAACAACTCCAAACATACTCAACCACTTAATCTTTGACAAAGTGGCCAAACACATTCCCTGGAAGAAAGAGTCTTTTGATAAATGGTCCAGAAAAAAACTGGCTTTCCCCATGCTGACAATTAAAACTAGACCCATGTCTATCACCATGCACTAAACTAAAATTAAAATGGATAAAATATATAAATATTAAAACAGAAACACTAAATCTGCTGGAAGAGAGAATAGGTAGAACTCTTGAAGACATAAATAGGCAAAGATTTCACGAACAAAACACTAATCACACAGAAAGTACTACAAAGAAGCAACAACTGGAGTATCATTATATTAACAAAAAACTTTTACACAGCAAAAGAAATCAAAAGAAGGTAAAAATACAAACCACAAATGGAAAAACTTTTAGCCAGTTGTCCCTCAGGTAAAAGACTAATATCTAGAACATATAAAGAATTGAAATAATCAGACCCCACTTTAGTCCAAAAATGTGCATCTGAGATGAATATACACTTCTCAACTACAGAAATACAAACAGCAAATAAATGCATGAAAAAAATGTTCAGCATCACTGGTCATTTGAGAGATTCAAATTAAAATAATGCTGAGACTTCATCTCACTCAAAAAAAAATGGCTAGAATCAAGAAATCAAACAATAACAGTATTGGAGGTGCTATTAAAAAAAAGAAACACTCTCCACTATTGTTGAGAGTGTAGACTGGTGCAACCACTGTGGAAATCAGTATGGAGATTCCTCGAAAAAATTAGGATTGGACATTACATTTGACTCATCTATTCATCTTCTGGGTATTTTCCCAGAAGAATTAAAAATATCATGCCACAGTGATATATGTGTACCCATGTTTATAGCTACACAGTTTGTAATAGCTAAGTCTTGGAAACAACCTAAATGTCCTTCAACTGAAGAATGTATAAAAAAAAAATTTTTTTATACAATGGAATACTACACAGCCCTAAAGAAGGATAAATGAGGCACTTCTAGCTAAAAGGATGCACCTTGAGACCATATTCTTAAGTGAAATAAATGGGACACACATGTGTAAATATCACATTGTCTCCCTGGTATGAGAAATTGAAAGAGTAAATAAGGACCAAAATATACATTGGATATTTTGAAATAGGAATGAAAGGAAAAGTAAAAGTGATATAAAAAGGATAAAATAGAAACAAAGCTTTGCAAATAAGGGAAAGAGGAGTTGAAGGGAGGGGAGGTGACTGAGAAAAAAAACAGGAATCAAGATGTATGATGTACAGGTATAAATTCCCTATGATCATCGTGTATATCTAAATTGTACCAATAAGCTTAATAAAAAAAAACATACAACTGCTTAAAAAATTAAATCAATTTGGATCTATTTTCAAAAGCACTAACATTGAACTTCTAAATAAAATTATTATTCACATATGCTGTATATTAACTTTCAATACACTATTTGTAAGATTAAGTAACAGTAACAGAGTCCTATTCTATTATTCAGTTTATCTAATAATTATAGAATCAGCCTAATATTTAATTACATTGCTATTTACTAGTATAATATTCATAATTACAAATAAGTGGTAACAATTATACATAATTTTTGAAACTCTGATATTAATAACAAAGGATAAATCCTTTCTATTGCTTTTTATTATTCCCTGCCTGACCTGAGTTTCAAACAGAGCAACCGCATGTAAGCTATTTAAGTATTTAAGATGTGCTAAATTACAACAGAAATACTGACCATCCTTGACTTACTTTATGCCTCCGCTCTTGAAACTATATTCAACTGAAAAGGCAATTAGAATCAGGAATAGAGTGCAGAATATATCTATGTGCTTTTAAAAAGGCATAAATTACTGGGTACAGTGGCACATGTCTGTAATCCCAGCACTCAGGAGGCTGAGGCAGGAGGATTTGCATGAGTTAGAGCCCAGCCTGAGCCACATGAGTGATTCCAAGTCCAGCCCACACTACATAGCAAGACCTTGTCTTAAAAATAAATAAATAAACAAACAAATAAATAAAGCAAGCATTAAGTGATTATTATTGTTAGAAATATAAATTTTTTGGACAGTAAAAACTGATGTTATAATACCTTCAGTTGTGTTGAATGTTGACAATGGAAACTCTGGATATTTTCAAGCGATACACATTTTCTTAGTAAGAAAGACTGTGAAATAATCAAATGAGAAATATACATTAACCAGAGCACTACTTGGCAAACTAAAATACCATGTGACGGTGTGCTAATAATAATTGTTTATGTAAATTAGTGCAATACGAAAGTAATCATTAAAATGTCGTTTCTTACTGATTTTGAAGTCACTAGCATCATAGAGGACAACAGAACTTGAAATCCACCAATTAACTTAGCAAACTGTACAACAATAAAAATTTCCCTAATCCTAAAATTCAACTTGAAAGAACAAACATCCAAGCACCTGCAACGTGCACAGTGCTATAGAGCAAAGCTTCCCAGTTAATAGAAGTGGTGCAGACGTTTGTGAATGGGCCATAAATATGCTGAGCCATGGGGCTGCCCCAGTGGGACCTTGGGCAGCCACTGTCCCCTTATCAGTTACCTCTATTATGAGCTGATGTTTTACAACTTCAGGGAGCACACACAAATACGACCACTTACTATAATGGCACCAAGACTAGTGCTACTATCTTAGCAGAACTGGAAAGCAATACCATTCAGACTGAAAAGTACAAAGAAAAGGCTAAGCTCCATGCCCTCAGACACTGTAATAGTGTAAAACACAATAAACGTATGTCTTTAAGCCAAAGCAACTGTGGAATGACTGTAAAAATGGCATGAATTGGGTGCAAACAGAATGTAAGGAGAAAGGAATTCTCAACAGGTAGGAACTCAGATAGAGCACCATGAGCAGGTAGCACCAGGGTTGTGCGAAGGCAGCAGTCTTCCCACAGACTGAGAAGGGGTCGAGAACAAAGCAGGCCAAGGGACCACTTTCAGCAAACACTGAGAAATGTCAAAGTGACAGCAATCTTAGTCCACAAGGACTCTGATACAGGCAAGGTGCAAACTATGGGGTTCATGGAGCTTACACAGAGGTATAAGTATAATGGAAGAAAACAAAACACAGTTGAGGTCAGAGAAGGAGTTTGAGTTAGGCACTCTGTCTTCATTTTATTTGGTAGGAGGAGTTACTAAGTTCGTGGAGACATGAGTGACATAATCATACCTGCGTTGCAAAACTATAGCAAAATAGATCGGAAAGAGCAGCTACTAAAACTCAGAATATGTGAGAGGTGCAAGCTAGAAAGTGCACATTGCTTGCAAATCTAGAAAGCGTTGCTTCTTGGTTCAACTATTTTAAGTGACAGTCACTGCTCAAGTCCTGGGGGTAAAACAGTAAATGTGAATGTGTGACCTCAAGAAAGTGAGGAAGAAAATGATCACATATACATAAGGATGACTATCTGAGAAGTGCTACAGAGAAGGCAGCAAAATGGTGACCACATGAAAAATATTACTAGCTCTCTCCAAAAAAGAGTACATGTTCCCCCTCTGTATGGGGGAAAGAGGGAGGATGCATAGAAACATATGTAACCTAATTAGCTGACCAGAAAAGGGGTTTCATTTGTTTCTGGGCCCTAAATCTCCCTACTATGTGGCATTCATCACCTCAAGATATCATCAAGCACTAATGCAAGAAAAACAAAATTATTTCATGTTACCTATAAAGTTTAGGACATTAATAAACCAGTGATATAAGTGTTATGACTCTTCCTTCAGTCACTATTTCCTATCTCACTAATAATGCTTATTACTTGATAAACAGATACATTTTCGTGATACTAAAGACATGAGTATGCGTGCAACTAATCGCCCCACAAGGGCAATGAGTTTTATTCTACTACATGGCCATAATCATCTTTCCCATTTTTTCAAAAGGCTCATAAACCGGTTCCATTAACCACTCCATCATGCATAGGGAAGAATGCACAGAAAAATTGGAAATTTTAAGAAAAACTCACAGAGAATATTTTCCTATTGATTAATGAATACTGTCCTCTGAGTGTGATAAAGACACATAAAGAAATATATTCTCTATCAATATATTAACTGGTCTAAGCCATTTCCCAAAATAAAGAAGTTATCACTTAGTAATTTTTGGAATTACTAGAGATAATCTCTGAACTGTACACAGACATAGTAACACCCCAACCCACACTTTAAAACAAAAATCATACATACCTGAAGATTTCTGTTATCATACACAATGAGATTTTCCATGCTGTCACTTAAAAATTTCTTAGTTAAAATTCTGCTTCCTTGAATCCTCTGTGATTAAAAAATAACAATTTAAATTACATTGTAGAATACTTTTTACATACCTATGGTCATTGTTACTTCACAGTACAATAATTTTATCAAAATTTTAAAAAAGCCTATGTAAGGGACAGAATACTAGAAAACACTTTCCAAAAATGGATTAAACTCTGTAATGTCTGTACTGATCCTATGCTATTTTGTAAAATGTTGTCGGTCTGTTAATATTTTCCTCCTTTTATTTCTAAAATAAAAAAATAAAAACAAATAAAAACAAAAACAAAAAAATGGATTAAAATTCAGCTATAGCCTTAGTATTTGACCAAAACCTACAATTTGTCTTCAGCACTGGCCTTTAGCCAAATGAGTAATTCTATACTATTTTGGGTATCCTTAATCTTAGGAGAGATCACTGATCACATGATTCTCATAGGTCAGCAATGAGATTACTTAGGATATCAATATTAGGATTATGAATAAGACGTATCATCTGGATTTATTATCATTAAGTGACTATTCATTTTCAAATACAAGCAAGTATTCTAATTATAAATTGGTATGAAAATGTCCTTAATATCCTTAACTTTGAATTCTATTAGGCAACTAAGTTTTAAAATGGATATATTTATTGTTGTAAGAATAAACTGCTACGATAATAATGATTATTAAATTCATTTTATAGTCAATGACTGGGACACACAGAAACAACTAGAGGACCTAAATTTGACAGCCTGGTAGATTCCTGATTACTTAAGTCATGCTGTTTCTTTAGAGATAAATATAGGAAAAGAAGTTAGAGGAGAAAATAGAAGTCACAGTCAAAATCATAAGAGGGTAAAAAAGAAGGCACAGCTGAGTGTGGTGGTGCATGCCTGTAATCCCTGCACTCAGGAGGCTGAGGCAGGAGGATCGTTGTGAGTTCAAGACCAGCCTGGGCTACAAAGTGATCTCAAGGCCAACCTGAACTGCATAGCGAGACCCTGTCTCAAAAAGACAAAAAAATAAATAAATAAATAAATAAAATGAAAAATAAAAAATGAAAAAGAAGACACAGTTGAAATCATAACCAGCAGGATAAAACTCTAGTAGTCACAAAATATAAGTTAAATTTATTTTAAAACTTGGAGCAAACAATTTTTTAAAATATCTAAATACCACTTCCCATTGTAAGGAAGCAGAAATCTTTAAAGGAAAGTCTGATTCCATTCCTATGAATAGAACTAATACGCCTGAGTTAGCTCCAGCTGGAAAGTATTGTTAGACCCTTTTTCTCCTTAACAGGAAGAACGGACAACCTCCGGCACTTACTCTTGTTTTGGACCTCATTTCTAGTGGGTTACTCCATGATCACCAATTCGCACTAATCCTACTCTTGCTACAATGTACCTCTTTTCAGAAAGTGTTGCCTACTCTTAACTCCCTATATTCACACTCCTATAAACAGAGATGGAAAAATCCATGCATGTTTGTTATAAGCAAACACATAGTTTCAAAAGCATTGTAGACATCTAACACACTCTCTACTGTCAGTTCAAATAGAAGCAGACGACACCAGTAAAGGATAAAGAGAGGGAATATGCAGGAGAAAACTTCCAACCACAATGCAGTTCTGACATATGTGAAAAGGGATAAGAGAGAAAGAATTGGGTGGAAAGAATTTCAGACTATGGAGACGCTCTGAGAAAGAACCAGTTGGGCAAATAGAAGGTCTTGAGCCAAAGCAATCCCACATCAAGCAGAAATGGATCAGCTCTATGATCAAGCTTGTGTTTAGTCACGGGCTGGGAGCAGATCAAAGAAGCATAGCCTTGAAGTGAATACCATGGTGGCTGGCAGTCAAGAGTCCTCCACTTAGAAGATTCTCTTGAAAGAGAAGTGAGCATCATATTCCCATGGATGCTACACCCACTTATGCAAATTAGTATTTACCAATCTTTTACATTAGAGCAATCCTTTTAAATATTTTGTATTATTTTGTATGTTTTTTCTGAAGTAAATGGAAAGATTACTTGACACTTAAAAAAATAGAGAAATGTAAATATCCATACTAATCTTTCAAGATTTCAAATATACATACACTTGGCACAGGAATTCCAAACAGAAAAATATGTGTGCAAATATATATGTTCAAGTATATTTTTAAAAATAAAATGCATAATAATATAAATTATGATTCATATGTGCAAAAACATTAATTTGCATGACATATATGATAAAAATGTTTGAATATGTACACAGAATGCATTTAAAAGTGGTTAGCTTCAGGAAGAAGAGACCTGGAGAGCACTGTTAAAGGTGAAAAATGTTCTTTATGCCATATACATCTTTATTATTTAAACTTTTACTACAAGAAATGCTACTTATACAACTTCTTAAGTACTTAATAGGCCTTGGCATTAGAAATGGAACAATTAAATAATGATAATTTAACAAAAGACAAAATACTTTTAAACTGAAACTACAAAATCATACTAGAAAGGGACTTCCACGAAGATGGTCTAGTGATAAGCATCAGAGACACAGCCTCTCTGAGACACAGTATCCAGACCCTGGAATATAGCAATGTGAGAAAGAGAAGGAAGGAAGGAAGTGAATCCCTGGGACACAAGAAGGATCTAGTGTGAGAACTGAAGCCAATGGGGAGAGGGAAAAGAGAAACTACAATGAAAAAGAAGGAGGTAGCGGGTGGCACTTTCTCCCTGAGCCCAGACTCATTGTGTGGGAGGGACGGCTTGAACCTGCAAATGGTTGGTGATTACTGGGGACTCCAGAGGCCTCTGCGGAGAAACACACCAGTGGAATGGATCAGCAGAGGCAGTGGGCTTCTGTGGCTGGTGAGTTATTTGGGTTCAGGTGTTCCACACAGAGGGCAATAGGCAGGGAGCCATCTCAGAGAGGGGCCAGCTGAGCTAGAAAGTCAGAGAAATTGCTGGTTTGAGGGGGCTGGGAGCCGAGTTCAAGCTGGCAGGAGGGGCACAGACTGCTGCAGGCTCATGGGTCTGGTTCTAGCCTAAGGACCAGAACAAGCCTGAACTGCAGTGGAAGTGAAGGTACAGGCTCACCCAAATAATGCACTACCCCACTGTAAAGCTGCAGCTGGTGTGCTGGGATTAATCAATGCAGATCTAGACTCTACCCACTTTCTCTACCAGTGACAGCAGAGACAGACCTTGAACTGGACGTGTTTCTCCTTATTTTCTTTTTTCTCTTTCACTTTTGTTTTGTTGTGTTTTGGTTTTTTCATTGTTTGTTCTTGTTTTTATATGACTGTGAACATGGTTTCTAGTTTTTTTTTTTGTTGTTGTTCTATTCTGTTCTTCCTTTTATTTCTTCCTTCTCTCTTTCCTGTCTTCTTCCCCAGTTTCCCACAGCGTGTGTGATCTTCCTTTGTCCTCCAGCCTTGCTTCTAATCTCTTTCTCCTCCTCTTTATCTCTGGTTTTCCCACAACCCCTTTTAAATTTTCTCCCCTGAGGGTAAAATTGCCATATTGAGGACATATTTACTGTATACAATTTTCTGGTTCATTTTGTATTTTGTTATATAACCATCAATCTAGTTCATATGGTTAAAGGTTTGCAAATTAATTGTTACCTCAATTTGTCATTTCTACGTTGCGTGATGCTATTGTTATTGCTGATTGTACCACTTTAGCCAAAATGACAAATTGTCCTAACCAGTTGTTCTTCCTATTATATCAAGACTGAGATTGCCTAAGGGTCATAAAAAATACTATAGACCAGTGCCAAAGAATCAGAGGCTGGGCCAAGTAGGCAGCAACTCCTTATTCCTAATAAACTGAAGAGGTACGGTTTTGCAACAGATTCAAAACCCAAAAGCCACTCACACCTACAAGACAGGTCTGAGAAGTAGTCATTGTCCAAGGATTCTAAGTCCTAGCAATAAAGCCACTGATCATAGGCAATTTATAAACATCAATCGAGGAATTAAACTAAAAATAAAAAATAGAAAATGAGAAGACACTTAAGATGCAACACCAGATTTCCAGCTCACCAAAAGACAACCCATGGGGCAATGAGGTGGAACAATCTGAAAGCCACCAACCTGGACTCTAAAGTAGTAACAGTACAAGTAATCCTAAAATTTATTTGGAACTAGAAGAGACCTGGAATAGCAAAAACAATTCTGGGCAACAATGGCAAGGCAGGAGGTACCACAATTCCTGACCTGAAATTATATTACAAAGATACTATGATAGAAACAGCATGTACTAGCAATAAAACAGGCTCAAAGATCAATGGAATAGATCACAACATGCAGAAACAATAAAAGTTAATGTCATAAGCAATTATACAAACATAACAATATAGAAAACCCACTCAATACATTACCTCATATTGTGGATATACAGTTTCCTTCATGACAGACTCTGGAACAGCAAATTTTGGTGCAGCTGGATTCCAAAACATTTTTGTAAATCCTGGATAAGCACACATCTTTGAAAATAACAAAAAAAAAATTAGAAATAGCATTAAATAGTCTCTAGGACAAAAAAACCAATCCCCAAACCTGTCCAAATTGTTTCTAGTTGCTCAGAGCATGACCTACTTGCATACTCCCTGGTAACAAGGAAAGATGACATTTATACCCATCAGATTAGGACAAATGGGAAGTCAGCAATACCAAGTGGCACTAAGGGAGTGGAGAGATGAGTAAAAAAGTATTGGAGGAAAATTGACCATTTGTACAAAATGTACGTGCCACATGTTCCAGCAACTTCACTTCCAGCTACACTTTCTATGAAAACTCTTACCTAAGTACCTGGAGAGATAGATATGCATGGATTATTTGTGGAACAAATTAAACACCAAAAAATAAAGCCCAAACTGATCATTAGTAGAAAAGCAGATGAATAAAATCTGGTAAATTTATACAATTAAACACTATAAAGCCATTAAAACACAAAATTTAATATATATATCTTAAAAACATAATATTGAGAATATAAAATAAGCCATTTTCAGAAAGATACATATAAAATTGCCATTTATGTAAGTTTAGCTAGAGTACACAGAACTGTATTGTTTGTTTAGGATAACAAATACATTTAGTAAAATATGAATTTATGAATTGGAAAGACCACAATTATAACAATAACTACTCTTGGGTAGAGAGGAATAGAAACTAAATTAGGAAGAAATACAAAGAACTTAAAAATTTTTACTTTTTATTTTAAAAAATAAGAAACAAGTATGACAAAAGTTAACATTTACAAACTCTTGATAATATATACCCAGATGTTTAATAGCACCATCTCTGCATGTGTGTGTGCATGTGTGTGTGTGTATCTTTAAGTTGTTCCAAATAAAAACTAATCAGGTCTGGAGGTAGTGAAACTATTCTGTGTAATCCTGGTGTATAATACTGGAATTGTGGCCACCTGATATTATGAATTTGGCAAAAATCCACAGAACTTAACAGTACAGAGTGAATGTTAATATAATACACATTTTAGAAAATTATTTAGGAGGTCAGAAAAAATCCCAGGGTGAAATCCAAATTACAACAAAACAGTATAACTGTATTAGAAATGTACAAAACAACCTCACAAATGGAAGTGAGGAAGTCTGAAAATGAGCAGAGCATATAAAGCTACATACAAAAGAAATGGTATATCTAGCACTGTACTTTAACTGATAAAGTATCCCACAGAAATATGAGTTAATAATTCTGGTATTTCCATATATAGATACCGAAATTAAAAGTTAAGCAGATTGATGGAGAATTATTGTTTATCATTGCTCAAGTGGGCATTTAAAGAGAAGAGAGGAACCTAAAATACAAAATCCATGTGGCCAGGTGTGGTGGTGTATGCCTACAATGCATTCTGGAGACTGAGGCACGAGGATCACCATGAGTTTGACCCCAGCCTGGGTTACACAGTGAATTCAAAACCAGGCTAAACTATATAGTGAAACTGTCTCAAAAACCAAATAAACAAATTAATTAATTAAAATAAAATGATCCATGTGCTAGTGGATTAGAGTTGGGAAAATCAGTATGAACTCCTGTTTATCTTAATATATGCAGAAATGTTTGCATATAAAAATACAAATACATATATTTATACAAATTTGTACCTACACATTTATTTTCTTGTCGTTTTGTCAATTGACAAGGCCTAAAAACAACAATGTCCCAGTAGCAACAAGTATACCAGCTGCCCAGATTCAAGTTACACTCTCCAATGAGTAGCACCTGGGGGTCCATACAGAAATGGCTGATTCTAGAACTAAGGCAGGGGAAAACATACAAGATAAGCTCGAGACATTCTGTACTGCATAAGTTCTCAAAACAACAAAAACAAAACCTTGCAATGATGTTGTAGATTCAAACAGACATTGGAGCCAACTGAAGGACTTCCTAGTGGTCAAGGCTCAAACCATTTTAACAATGATAATAAATAATAACAATGATGATGACATATGGATAATATCTCAAAGCATAACATAAGCAACCATGAGTCATACTGATATCAATAAATAAGAAGTGAAAATAGATGAACTTCCTAAACAGAAGAACCCTAACTAATTTTCATAGCTACTCTAAACTCAAGGAAGTGTAATACAAACTCCTTACTCCTTATGTATAGAAAGTGTGTAAAGCAATTTCCTTTAAATAAAAAGTACAATATAGAAAGGTGTAAAAAAAGAATAACTTTACAAGGAAGAAATCAATACACCACCTCACCACCTAACACTGAGGCTGATAAATCCTGCTGATGGCAGGTACCCTGGATGTAATCAGTGAAAAGAGGGCTTTACCTCATTGGTCTTTCTCCCAAAGTTACATAACCTAATCAAATCAGAAAATCCTAACTGGGAGACATTGTACAAAATACCTGATCACTATTCCTCAAGATTAACAAATCATCAAAAACGCAAAGAAAATCTGAAAAATTGTCACACTCAGAAGGAACCTAAAGAGATAACTAAATATAATATGATATCCTGGATAGGATACTAAAAGAGAAGATATGACATTATATAAAAACTAAAACATTTGAATGATATACAGACCTTACTTAATAATAGTGTATCAATATTAGTTTATTAACTTTTGTTATCAGTACATCTTTGCTGTACATAGTGATTACATTCATTGTAGGGAATTGGTGCACATACATAACACATCTCAATTCTTTTTTTTTCACTCAATATTACTGTAGATGTTTGTAAGTCTCCCAGGGATGCCGTTATGAATTACCTAGTATAAAGCAATAGAAATTTATTCTCTCACAATTTTGGAAAGGAGATGTAGGTCAGGGTCATGCTCCCTCTGAGGACTTTAGACAATTCTTCCTGGTCTTTTGCTAGCTCATAGAGGTTAGCAGGAATCCTTGTGTCCCTCAGCTTCCACTACACCATTCAGATCTTCCAGCATCACATAGCTTTTTCCTGTTTGTCTCTGTCTTCACGTGGCATTCTCCTTCCATGAAGATCCCCGTCCTACTGGATTTAAGCCCCGCCCTACATCCAGCATGATTTTATCACAAGATTCTTTATTTCATCTACAAAGTCCCTATTTCTAAATAAGATCAAATTCACAGAACCATGGATTAATACTTGAACATATCTTTTGGGGATCACTGTTTAACCCACTGTTATTATATTAAAACAAAAACAAGGGCATGTAATATATGAGAAATCTTTGTATTTTCTTTGTAAATTTTCTGTTAAGTCAAAAACTATTTTGAAAAATAAAGTTTTATGTCAATAAAATAAAACCGTGAAAAGAAAAATAATTTTTAAAATAGCTACAAGCAAAAACTTAATCAGGCATTCATGAACAGAGCGTAAAGAAAAAGTGATAATCTTTTTAATAACAGCTATTTGAAAGTATGGTACTATTGGTAATTATATTTTCTTTAATGTTTTTATTGATTTTAATAATATTTAAGTGGACTATGCATTTCTCCCAAAAAGATTTCTTTTGCTTAGAAAAAAAAAATAGTTCAAATGATAGTAAAGCCTCAATTTTCAAAAGCTGCTCTAGCATTAAATCTGACGTCTCCTGGAGTGTGGATGTTACACAGAATTTCTGGAGTAAATCTGAAGACCCAAACCCAATAAATAAAAATTCACAATTAAAAGTAAATCTCGAAAACTTTTATTTCTAGTCAAGAATACACTTCAAGAAAGCCATACACTTGATCACATGTGTCATATCAGCATCACAGAGAAAGGCAAATTTTGCAGTTTCCAGGTTAATTTGTACAACAGAGAAATTCAAAATTAAGTGTTCACTTGTGCTGTGCTTCACTAAGCACACTGCGTCACTGTGGTGTACACATCTACAGCCAGGAAGTCCTTGCTAAAAGATGAGTAAACTCTTCCAAAATCAGCTGGTAACTCTTCTTCCAGAAATGACCTAGAAATTAAGAGGATTTAAGGTATTCAAATGATATGCCACACACAATACGGTAATTCCTCCCATGCAGTAGACAGACTTGCAACAGTTTAAGTACCTGGAATGAACATGTTGCCCTAGATGTAAGCAAGATGCAGACCTCTAAGGGAGGGAGTGGGATGATACCACTAAACAACAGTACTTTGCTTTCAAGGAAAAGCACAGAAGCTCCTTCAGGAGAACATTTAGTTTATCAAATTAATTAAGCACAATCATGGTAAATTAGTTCAATCTGCAATGTCTGAAAGGGTCTAAAGAGAGCTCTAAGGAAATGATCAGAAACAGCAGAGTTGGTGGCTGCTAGAACTCAACGGGAGGGTAGAGAATGCACAGCAAACAGAATTACTAAGTACAAAGCCTCCCGGTTTAATTCAAAGTTTAACAGCACCTGTACTGCCCCTAAGGTTATATTACAACCCAGTACAATAACTCATATTCATACTGGCTGCCAAAGGGCAGAATATTCTGCTCACTAAGGGAGAGAGTCATGCAAATTAATTTCAGAGGTAAGTTAAGCTTCCTATAAATGAAACATAAGGCAGAGCACCCGTTTTGAAAATGTAGTCTGAGACCCTGGAAAAGGTTATTTGCATTTTTCCCTGTGTTGACATTTGAACTGATGATGAAAAAATATATATGATGAAATTGACAGTGCTTTAGTATGAATCAAGACAGCGGCACCTTAAGATGCCCTCCAGGAAACAGGAAAAATGATTAATTTTATTAAACCTCAACCTTTAAATACACATTCTTTAATATTCAATATGATGAAATGAGAAGTACACACAAAATGCACGTGTGGCCACAAGCGAAGTAGGAGAGGGGTTTTGTGGAAACGCATGTGCTGTTGTTTGAACTGCCGACTCTAGTAGACACTCTGAGGGAGAAGGTACCAAGCTATGGTTATCGAGCATTAGATGTGGGAAGAATTTCTGGAAAAGGAATGTTACCAACCTGTCATTTCAAATCAAACTTCAGATTATTTACACCAATAAGAAAGTTTTGACTTTTAAAAATATTAGAACTT